TATTAATTATTATTATATATTAATATATGTATATCTTTATTTATTTATTTATTTATTTTCTATTAATATTATATGTATTTATTTATATAGTTATATATATATTATTATTTTTATTATTATTATTTTTTCTCTTTTCTTGTAATATTTTTTTTTAGTTTATCTTATTGTTATTCCTAATTATCTGTTAATTATTTTTTTTCTTCTCTTTCTTGATCCGTATCTGATTCTTTTCTAATTATCTATTATTATTTTTTATTTGATTTTTATTTTTGGAGGGCTGAGATTGAAGTTGAAGAATCCCACTAGGAATGGGGAATTCAATCAGAGAAGAGTCCAGTTGGATTCAAAGATTGAATTCTCGTCCAAGGAGGAATTGGGATTGATCAGGAACTCCTGATCAATCCCTATATAAAGGACCCCTGGAACAGATGCAAACACAGACAGAAAACAGTAAGCAAAGCTACTGATTTGAGAGAAAAGGAGGCGTTATAGGAAGCTAAGAAAAGTTTAGGAGTGTTCTGGGAGTAAGAAAAATTTTTTAGAAATTTTTGGTGAAAAATTTTTCTGGAAATTTCTGAGAAAAATTTCCAGATTCTGGCAAAAATTCCGGCAAGAGTTGAATTTTTCGGCCCAAAATTCCAGCAAATTTGAAGTTTCCGGCGAGATGCCCAGTTTCCGGCGAGAAATCCAGAAACCGACCAATTTTTCGGCCAACTTCCGGCGAACATCCGACGAAATTTCCAGATTCCGGTGACATTTTCCAGAATCCGGCACCGGTGTTCTTCAGCTTTTAGAGAGAAGGCAGAGAAAAAGGAAAGAAGAGAGAGAGAGAAGAGGAGCGGTCTGTCGAAAAACGAAGGGAACTGCCTTTTATACCCTCCCAAAACGACGTCGTTTTGGCTTTAAGTTAATCAGAGCATCCGCGCGTTTTACCGTGACCCGACCCGACCCGAGCGTCGACCCGATCCTGACCCGCGCGTGCCCTGCCCCCTCCGAGCCGAGCCGAGCCGAGCTCCCTAGCCGCTCCCCGAGCCGTTTTTCTTCCTTGAGCCGAGCCGAGCCGATAACCGAGCCGCTCCATTTTTTTTTTTTGGAATTTTTTATTTATTTATTTGTTTATTTGTTTATTATTTTATTATTTTTATTAGATTATATTTATTTAATATTTTTTATCTTTATCTTATTTTTATTTTTGCGTTACTTTTCTTTGTTTTTTATTTATTTTTTATTTATTATTCTTTAAATAAAAATCAAAATTTCCAAAAAAAAATATTTTTGAGAAAAAATTGAAAGTATCAATTTTCCTTAAAAATAAATTTTCAAAAAAGTATTTTTGAGGAAAAGTTGAAAGTATCAATTTTCCCCACACAAGAACAATCATTCTTTCCTTCCTTCCTATTTTTGATTTTGACTTTGATTTTTCTTTAACTAATCCGACGACAGAGCCTCTGTAAGTGAAACAGTAGTTTTTCTTGCATACTCTTGAGGTGAGAGAATTTTCTCAATTTTCTGCTAAAAGTATTAGAGTCAATTGAGAATAATTTTCAACAATTAATTACTTCGTAAAATTTTAAAGGCTTTTGGATAACACAAATTTAAGCTGGTACCATCTTTTGATGGGCGTTGTGAGGGTGCTATAACCTTCCTCACACGTAACCGAACTCCCGAACCCTGTTATGGTTTGTGACCTGAACCTATTCTTTTAGGGACCCTTAAACTTAGGTGTTCCCTGAAAGGACAGATTCTTTAGGTGGCCAATCGCACCTAGATAAAAAAGATTGGTGGCGACTCCATTAAAAGTCAATGTCTAGCGATAGATCCCCGGATCTAGACGTTATGACAATGACATGTTTAAAGTATCTTAAAAAAGATATCAATAAATACCTGGAGCTATGTACCCAAAAGTACGCCAAGTGAGGTCCAATTAGAAGAGTCAGGCTTTAAAAGCCTAGTTGTGCCGAAATCTGAGACATGAGCCTCATAGTCCAAATCCAGAAGAACATTGTTGCTGGAATTGTCTCGATGAATTATAGGTGGTGAATGGTCATGATGCATATAAGACAAGGCATTGGCCACTCCTTTTACAACATTTAGCCTCTTCTCCCAATCCAACTCCATTGCCTCGTCCTTGTTGCTTAACACCATTCTCAAACTTCCCCTTTTCTACAAACTCATAAACCAAAAATGAGTTATTTGGATGTGAACAAAAGCCCATACAGCTTCACAATGTTACGATGCCTTATTTCTGATAAAGCATGAATCTCGCTTTCAAAGGCTTTCAAGTTGTTGGAAATCATGCTATCTTCAGATTGGTGAAGTTTCTTCACAGCAACCACCTCCCAATGGGTAGCGCAGCTTTATTAAACAGCACCATAGCCTCCTGAACCAATGCAATTTTGGAGCTGAAATCTTCAGTGGCTTCAATTAATGTTCTCATAGAGTATTCTTCCATTATATCCCCACAATGTGAAAAAATCTCCAAGTTGTGCCTCGATTGACTCGGATTTTCTGATTTGGTTCTTTGGCAAAGAATAAGGAAACTTCAGCCATGACAAAGAGCAAAAGAAGAAGACCAAAGAGTGAAGTACAATGAAAATGATGATTTTGCTGCTTTTTCTATGACCGTTGCTAGTAGCACCGACAGCACAAGGCATTAGTCCAGTGGCATTACCACATAGTCCCTTATTGTTTCTTAAGGCATCAAATGAAGCCTCATGAAATGCCTTAATGTTAGGAATAGGGCCTTCTAATTGATTGTAAGATATATTCACAACAGTCAAGCTTTTCAAATCATTAAAAGAATTTGGGATGCAACCATTGAGCATATTGTGAGAAAGGTCCAATATTTCCAAGGAATGTAATTTTGCAAGTTCCTGTGGTATCTCCCCAATAAGTAAATTCCAACTTAAATCTAGATTTTGAAGGCCATTTATGTAGCTTACTGAAAATGGAATGCTTTCTCCAAGTTTATTCTTGCTCAAATTCAGGTCCAATAACTTTGAGCACTCTCCAAGTTGATTAGGAATCGGTCCACTCAAATTGTTTGATGCCAAGTTAAGATATTCTAGATTTGAAAGAACTCCAATCTCTGGTGAAATTTTGCCTGAAAGTTGGTTACCACTTAGCAAAAGTTTGTACATCAATGTCAATGCTCTCAATTCCTTGGGAATCTCACCAATGAGATGATTTGAAGAGACATCGAGTTCGTGCAATTGAGTTGCATGCTTCAGCTCAGGTGGTATCTTTCCAGAAATGTTATTATTGGAGATCCGTAGGCTTGTTAGACTATGGCATTGCCCCCAATTTGGCGAAAGTTCCGCCATAAAATTTGTTGTTGCTTAATGCAATATAATTCAAACTAGGATATGTACCGAAAGCTTCTGATATATTCCTGTCAACTAGTTTCCTTCAAGCCTAACACTGAATAAGCTTTTGCAAGTTTTCAAAGTTGGTGGGATAAGACCCGTCAAATTGTTGTTGAAAGCCGAAAGATTTGCGAGTTGTCCACCCCTGCATAAATTTTTGGGTAATGGACCACTAAGATGGTTATCTCCTAATTGTAATGATTGCAAATGAGTGAGATTGCCAAGCGCTGAAGGAATTGGCCCTGATAAATGATTATGGTGAAGATATATCATCATAAGCTTCGACATGCTTCCTATGGAAGCAGGGATTGAACCAGAGAAATTATTTTGACTCAACCCAAAGTCAGTGAGAGATTTAAGCATCCCTATCTCTTGAGGTATCGACCCAGAAAACATATTTTGATCGAGGTAAAGAGTGGATAGACTGGTCAAGTTTCCTATGGAAGCAGGGATTGAACCAAAGAAATTATTTTGACTCAACTCAATATCAGTGAGAGATTTAAGCATGCCTATCTCTTGAGGTATCGATCCAGAAAACATATTTTGGTAGAGGTAGAGAAAAGATAAGTTGGTCAAGTTTCCTATGGAAGCAGGGATTGAACCAGAGAAATTATTTTGGCTCAACTCAAAGTCAGTGAGAGATTTAAGCATCCTTATCTCTTGAGGTAACGACCCAGAAAACATATTATGATGAAGGTGGAGACTGGATAAACTGGTCAAGTTTCTTATGGAAGCAGGGACTGAACCAGAGAAATTATTATGACTAAACTCAAAGTCAGTGAGAGATTTAAGCATCCCTATCTCTTGAGGTATCGACCCAGAAAACATATTATGGTGAAGGTGGAGAGTGGATAAACTGGTCAAGTTTCTTATGGAAGCAGGAATTGAACCAGAGAAATTATTATGAATCAACTCAAAGTCAGTGAGAGATTTAAGCATCCCTATTTCTTGAGGTATCGATCCACAAAACATATTTTGATAGAGGTGGAGAACAGATAAGTAGGTCAAGTTTCCTACGGAAGCAGGGATAGAACCACGTAGATAGTTATCAAAGAAATAAATCTCGGAAACTGAACTCAGCCTCCCTATCTCTAATGGAATGGAACCACTGATCTCATTACTTGCCAAGGAAATCAACTCAAGACCTTTCAATAAGCAAATTTCGGATGGCATATTCCCCGAAAAGTTATTGTATTGCAAGTCAAGGAAGGTGAGCTTGGAAAGGTTCCCAATGTGTTAGGGAATGGGCCCATACAGTGAGTTGTTGCGAAGGTCAGGCCTCATCAGCTTAGGGAAGAAAAGAAAGCTAAGACTATGAAGTGTACCTTTCAACCCAGAATCTGGAAGGCTTAGATTGGTGATGCTTTCAGTCTTGTAGCAGGTAATTCCAACCCAACTGCAATGGAAGTCTCCAACCCACAAAGAAGAGAGCAAAGTTTGGGTGTTGTTGTCAAGGCTAGCTTTCCATTTTAGCAGAGTTTCCGCTTCTTTACCTCTTATAAGTGCAGCAATGGAGGATGAAGAAGCAAAAACAGAGGAAAAGTGAAGCAGGACAAGTATGAGGAAGAACATGACTTTGAATGGTATTAAGAAAGATGACATGATTTGGATAGTTCAAAAAGGATTTTTGTTAATTGTTCTAAATTACATTGGCTAGCATGGTTAGGTATTTATGCAAAATACAATAGCATTTTAGTGCGAAACATCAAGTGAAAAAATATAACTTTAAGACCAACAGATCTTTTGCGTTTAAATTATTTTTGTTAGATGACTATTGGTCTTCTACGTTTAAAGGACAATTTTAGCTTTAGTTTGCACTTATTATTAATCAAATGTTAAAAAAATCATGATAATTATTTTAAATGAAAATTATATCTTATACATCAATCAAATTTTAAATTCTATAAATGAGTTTAAAAGATTACTACAAACAATTAGATCATAAATAAAAAATTATGTAAAGAAATTAATGAATTAAATATTTTATATAAAAATTTTTAAATCTTATAAATAAAATTAAAAAAATTGACATATGTTTTTTAAGAATATATCTATAAATATTAATGAATTGATTAATTATTATACAAATATATGCATACAAATTATTTAATTTAATTTGTGAAATTTAAAATTTTTATCATTAATTTTTATTAAATAATAATTAAATTATTAAATGAAGATGCGACAGCTATGTAGATTATAGTGAAGTCAATATATAAAATAGTAATTTTAAATGTATAAATTTTTATTCATTTAATTTGGTTCGGGTTGATCTTTTATTCAATATTGAATCTTGTCCAAATTTTTGACTTATCATTTTTAACGTGTTCATGGTGCACAATAAATTATAGGTCAAAGGATATCATTTATAAAAATGTAAAAAAAATAAAAAAATATCATTTATAATTCAATTTTGATTAATATTTATTTAATGGTAAAAATATCTATATAAAAAAATATCAAATTTGACTTATAAATTTGTAAGTCAATAAAAATTGATGGTTAAATTAGATTATTTCAAGTTTAAATTTTAAAATTTAAAGAGTTCAAAATTTAGGTCATTTTATAGATTCAATATTATCTAGAAGAGTTAAAATTCTACAAGGATTTACATAAAAACATACTCTCTAAACTAATCATATTCTTTGAACTTATTCTATCGTATTCTTTGAACTAATCAAATATATTAATACTAATTCCTCCTTTCTTCTATTATAATAATCAAACTTCATAGTACATGTTATATTCTATTCCTTTTATATTTTATTCTCACAAAATACAAGTTTCATTCCTCTTTTATTTTATTTTACAAACCAAACATGTCATAAGTTCTTAGATTTTTGACAATCCATAACTTAAGGTATGAACTAAACTCATGTTTGAAAATCATATGCATACCAATTATGATGTTCACAACAAATAGATACGATTTTGGATTCAATTTTCTATGTTTAATTTTCGCTACTTGTTATGTTCATACATGTATGTTTGTCTGATAAATATTGTCAAATTGCTACAATTTTAAATGATTAATTTAAACTATTTAAATGAACATATAAACAATTATTGATCAATTTTTATAAAATTATCCTTTAAAAGCATAAAAAATCTTTCAAAAAATTCTAAATTAACCAATAATATACATTTTTAAGTTTTGAATAACTTTTAAATGATTAACTTAAATGAGTATCTAAACAATAAATTTTGATAATGTATGGCCTTTCTTTAAGGTGCCACATGGCATTCATCTCTTTTTATTTTTTTCTTTTTTTATTTAATAAATATTTTTATTTAATTATTTTGTGTGTGGACCCAAAATCTAGAAGGCTTAGATTGGTGATGCTTGTTACCTTATTGTGGGTAAGTCCAACCCAATTGCAATGGTTGTCTCCAACCCACAAAGAACGTAGCAAAGTTTGAGTGGTGTTGTCAACTCTAGCTTTCCTTTTTAGATCATTTGAGTTTCTATGAAACATTCATATCAAAATGCAACTTCAATACCGATGGATCTTTTACATTTAAATTAATTTCGTTGGATTTCTTTTATAAAAAAATTGCAACATAAAAAAATTTTAAATTCTCATAAATATTGATTATTGGTATTTTTCTATTTTTTGTAATAAAAGAATATTCTAATTTAATTCATGCTTATTTTAATAAAAAGTATGGGTTATAAAATTTTCATGATAATTTTTTTAAATAAAAAATATATGATACATCATTGAAAATTTTAAACTCGATAAATGAATTTAGAAGATTAATACATATCATTAGGTCATAATTAAAAAAAATTAAGTACATAGATGAATTAATGAATTAAAAATTATCTAATATATTTTTTAAAAAATTTTATGAACAAAATTAAAAAATTAACCTGTATTTTATAATAATATATTTATAAAAATTAATAAATTATTAAAATAACTCTATCATCTACATATATATAATAATTTAATTATTAAATGAAGATACCAACCCTATAGACCATAAACCAACACTCAAATTAATTTATAAATAACAATTTTAAATATATAATTATATAAATTTTTATTCATTTAATTTGGTTCAAGCCTATCTTTTATCCAATATGGAGTCTTATCCAATTTGTTGGGCCTCTCATTTCTAACGTATTCATGGTGATAATTAAATTATAGGTAGGAGGATACACAAGAGTTAGTCAATACTGAATAGATAAAAACTTAAATGAATTAAATGAAATTTTGTAAGTAAGGTTTTAAAATCATATGCATCTTCATCTTCATCTCTAAAATTTAATTTTTTTTATTTTCATTCAAATAAATATTTGAAGTTTTATTAAATTTGGATAAGATTGACATCTCTAGTATATTGAAAATAATTTAGGATTCACTTGAATGGGTGAAAAGATTAATTTTGGTGAGATTAAAAATAACGATTAGACTGGATACTGTATCAACGAGATTAAAATCAATTGTCAAGATATGTCTTTCCATGCAAACACATGGTAGAAATGAGGTAACTTGTAATTAGAGGAGAAATCACCATTAAATTTGTATGTAATAAAACTTTTAAATTATTTAACATTTATAAAATTAATAAATAATTTAAAAATCCATAAATTATTTTTAGGTCAAATAATAATTTTTTGATAAATAATTAAAAACTAATAAAAAATTAAAATCACAAATGCTATTTTTCTTTAATTTTTTATTAATGATGTAGTTATCTATTTTTAGTTAAAATAATAATATAATATAATACTAAATTTTATATTTAGTTATTAATTATTTATATAATAAAATTTATAAAATTATATTTTTTAATTCATAATATAATAATAATTTTATTTATTTATAATTTTATTCTATAATAAAATTTTTCATTATATTAAATTAAAAAATTATTTCATAATTTATTAACTAAAAAAAAGAGCAAAAATGTCAAAAGTGTCAAAAGCTTACCACACTCCTTTCCCATCAGTGCAATTTAAGTCTTCCACTGAAGCCACGTAAATATAATCAAATCATGCCTTTGTGATCCAAATAGCAAAACACAGTGCAATTGTATAAAAAGTGCTTAAATGCATTAAACAGTAACACCAATTCATTTTAAATGAGGTTTTAGATGAAATTTTGTAAGCAAAATTTGTGAATTTTTATTAAAATATTAAATAAAAACTAAATTAATTAATTTAAATTAATGAATTAAAAAAATCATGTTTCATAGATAAAATTGAACATTTAAAATAAAAGCATAAAAGCATAAAATAAATAATTTTTCTAGAAGGCATCTGATTTTGAAATAATTGACCTTAAATAAAGAGTTTTTTATAATAAAATAAATTATTATGTTATGTGGTATCAATAAAAACAACAATAGCAACAAGATACAAAAAATATATAGTATGAATTGTATAACTTATAGTTTTATAATAATATTGGTTAGAATTTTATAAATTATAACAACAATATGATTTATAATTGATTTTATGGCATATAAGATTATTATCAATTTCAACAAATGCAGAAACATTCATAAGTAATTGTTGCTAATAGAAAGTCAAAACAAAGCGCAACCTGACCACTATTTATTTATTGAGTTTCAAGCTAGCAAAATTCTAGGTAACTAATTCTAACACTATTCAACGTAAATTTAAAATAAGTTATCTTTGATGTACGTGTGATCTGTTCTAACTTTGAATAAAAAATCTCTCTTCATCATAGATTTTTTACTACAAAAAAATCGATATTGATTTAGTCAAAGGATTAAAAATTTAAGGGGAGAAAAGTGAAAACATTAAAAATATGTAAACATGTTTTTTTTAATGTGTGTTTAATAAGAAATTTTGAAAAATAGATAAAAATATTTTTATTTATTATTTGAAAAATATATCCTTTAATTTGTAAGCTAAATCAAGATATAACATGAAGTGAAAAAGTTAGAATTGAATTTATTTCATATAAGATTTGGAATTTTGATTCTTATGATATTTTGTTTAATATCTTGGAATCAAGTTATTTGATAATTAAAATGAAATTATAACTTTTAAATCTATATCGATTTTAAAAATATAAATAAATTCTAAAAATTTATAATCAAATTATTGATTTTAACACTGATTTATTAGAAGTTCTACCAACACGTTAAAAATGACAAATTTGGATGAAATTTTTAAAGTGAAATTTGAAAAATTCTTTACTAATAATTTAATAAAAAATTTAAATTGATAAACTAATAGAGTCCAAAAAAATAAATAAGAATGTAAACAAATATAAAAAATATCATTTATAATTCAATTTTAATCAATACTTATTCAACTGTATCTAAAAACTAAATCAAATTTTTTCAAATTATTTCAATTTTGCACATTCAATCTATGAAATAAAATATTTCAATTTATCGATTTTAATTTTTAATTTTAGTTTTTTTAAATTACTTTCAATAAATAAATTTACAAACTTCACCTAAACTTCATATAAGTATTTTTCCATTAAAAATACTTGTAGACGTTGATTTTGTCCAAAAAATTGAATTTATTTTGAAATAAATTTGAAATGATTCTATTTTTTTTCTAACATGTTTGAACTATTTTT